TGGCAACTGCCCACAACACCCTAGCACAACACCTAGTGTCTGTAGGTTTTTGTTTTGTTTTTTTTTACAGCGAAAAGCACATTTTCTTCAGGAAAAAAAAAAGTAAAATCAAGATTTGCTGTATACATACAGTAAAACCTAAATAGCAAATATGAAAATTCATCACAGTGCTGATTTTCGAATCTTAAGCTTATTGGGTTTCATTTAGTTAAATGTAGTTACAAATTTATAAGCTTTTGTCCTGGCGATCAAACGCGTCCAAATCCTTTCTTCAGTTTCTGCTGAAAGCGTTTTTGTGCTGAAAGCCACCTCCTGTTGAAAAGAGAGATGAGAAATGATGTTCTCTTCCAGGCAAAAGAAAATGACTCCACGTGAAGTGAGAATGTTTAGGCTGCCCTTTGATCAGCTTGAAACGCTGCCATTTATGTGACATCCACAAGCACTAAATGACAGTGACAAATGAGACATACAGATAAAAAGGTGGTGGATGATTGCCATGCTTGCAGAGAGACGATAATGTTATGTCGTTTCAACATGCTCTTTACATCAAAGAAGACGAAAGTACACTGGATATTGAATTCTGCGGCCCAATAAATTGAAATTACAGCTCTCTTGGTGGCTTAGGCTGTTTTCTTAACTGCGTAGTCTTCAGTATCAATAAATTATTTTAGGTGAACACAGTAATGTGATGTTGCCTGAAGCCGTGCACATTATTTTGCAGAAAATGAGATATGCTCCAACATTTTCCGTTCCTTTATTTCATCGGTTCTTTTAGCGTCTGAATTGAGGAAGAGTTGTCACTTCTAATGACTGTCAATAAATGTTATCTTTCTCTTGTACAAAGACTACACACAATATTCATCCATCTCAGCTATCTATTGTTCTCTCCTAGTCCAAATGCATGCTGGGAATAGAGGAGAGATGCGGGGTAATGGCTTCTCATCACTCATGTATATGAACTTGGGATTCCTATGGCAGCTCTTCTGTACAATCAGATTGTTCCCTACAAACAGTGTGTTTCAGCCCAACACACTGCCCAGCTGTGCTAAACAAGTGAAATAGGCTTACATTTGAAAATAAATAAATAAAGATGGGCCCACGTCTCTACAGAGGATAAGCAGTTTGGAGAATGGATGGATGGATGGATGGATGAATGTATAAAGATGGGCCACCTTACGCTATATTAGCTATATACAAGGTGCTATGACTTGACATGTATCTATATAAATCAAATATCCCACTAGATCAGTGGTTCTCAAACCTTTTTGATTGGAAGATCCCTGGTATCCAATACAATATTCAGTATTATCACTTTTTTATTAGCAGAAACAGAGAGCATTGCTATATAAAATGAATGAACTACGCTTCATTTTGAGATTCCAGAGGTTTCAGGAACGGTATACTATTCATTTTTTAAGAAATTTTGGATTATATCGCTTCCTCACCAATGCATCCTCTGCAGTGAATGGGTGCCGTCAGAATGAGAGTCCAAACAGCTGATAAAAACATCACAAGTTATCCACACCACTCCAGTCCATCAATCCACGTCTTGTGAAGAGAAAGGCTGCGTGTTTGTAAGAAATAAATCCGTCATTAAGACGTCTTTAACTTCAAACCGTTGCCTCCATAATATTTGATGCATAATATTGCTTTCTCCGTGGAAAATTTTGTTTACAAGCCAAAACAGCTCTAAACAAATATGTTGGTGGATTTTGATGTGAGAGGACAACAAGGGATGGACTTTTTCTTAGGAGTACACATTATCATGGATTATGGACCCTTTTTTTTATTATTATTTCATTCCATGTTTTTTATCAGCTGTTTAGACTCTCATTCTGACGGCACCCATTCACTGCAGAGGATCCATTGCTGAGCAAGTGATGGAATGACACATTTCTAAATTTCCAAATCTGTTCCCATGAAAACACAAACCCATCTACATCTTGGATGGCCTGATGGTGAGTACATTTCATTTTTGTTTTTCCTTTAATCAGAAAATAGTATTTGCTTTATCTGTGTCTTTTTTCTTCTTGACTAAAGATGGTAAAGTACAAAACTGGGACAGCTTACTTCACTCTTCCCATACAGAAAGCTTGCAGTGTAAATTTATTTCTGTGTAAAGCACCCAAACTCAGCTGAAATTCAATATTAAATAGATGGTAAAAACTTTGTATGTGTCAAAACACATATAGACTGTTAAAAGAGATAACTTTGCATTATTTATTGAAACACCCTCTATATTAGCACTGCTTTGTTCACTACACATATGACATGGCCATTCTTACACACCTTTACTAGAAAAAGTGTAGTTAAAAGAAACCGTAAAGCATGACTAAGGGTGTTGATTCAACTCAAGAAAGAGTTTGTATTATTGTATAATCGCCGGTCGGTCTGGTTATGAGTATAAACGTGAATTTTAAGACAGCTCAGATGCTTATTTGTGGGGTTCTGGTCACGCCCATGATTTCAAACGCTCACAGCAGAAGAGAATTTGCATTATGAACCTACAAGAATTCAGACAGGACTGGATTTGAATTGCCAGGAGCAGGGGCGTAGCCATCATTTCAGAAGTGAAGGGGACAGAAATGTAAAATGTAATAACGTGATATTAAAAGTGGGGGGGGGACACGTCCCCCGCGTAATCTATGCCCCTGGCCAGGAGCCTATTGCTATTGCTCTAATATGCAAATTTCATTTACAGTACATAACTGCTGACATATTTCAGAGCACCAATAACCCCAACTGATGCTGAGGCATACTGTATGTGAGAAACCTGCTTATTTCGCCAAGTTACAAGCAACTCAAAATATAAAGGAATATGTCACACAAAAACATGTGAGCTTGCAAGTGTGCACAGGAGAGCAATGGTGGCTGCCACAATTTTACTGTAAAACTGCTTAAATATCAGCCTATTTTTTTTTTTCAGGTTGTCAAAGCACTTAGATGATGATCAGCAAGCTACATGGTCTTTCTTGCTAACACTCTTGGATGTTTTATTAAACATTCGTATTAAACTAATGTATTATCATAGTGAATACACCCAAATTGGATATTCATTAAATTATCCCCTTTTGTGTTCTGCAAAAGAAAGTAATAGGATCTATCTTCTTTTGTCCATTTTAATATTCTAGGTATTATCAGCAGGCTGGAGTTGTGTGACCTTCATGAGCATAAAGGTTTACAGCATGATAGAATATCATTCAAGTACAGACGAGACAGACCATTTACAGATTATTAGCAGCATCTATCTATAGTTAAAGCGACAGTTCACCCAAAAATGTAAATTCTGTTATCATTTGCTCAGCTTCAAGAGTTTCTTTCTTCTGCTGAACACAAAAGATGACATTTTGAAGATATTTTGTCAATAACCAAGCACAGAGTGTGAAGAAAAAAATACTATCAAAGTCAATGGCAACTGTTTAGTTACCATCATTCTTTAAAATGTCTTCTTTTATGTTCAACAGAAGAAAAAAACTCAAACTGTTTTCAAAACAGTTTTGGAACTAATCGAGGGTGAATAAATTATGACAGCATTTTTATTTTTGAGAGAACTATCCCTTTAACACTTTGAGGTTTTGTTTTGTTGTCATTTACAATTTAGGTATTTAAATAGTCATTTTGCTTTAAAATTGTGGACAAACAGTTATTTTGTTATTTTAATAGTTTTTATACACATAATGTATCCCATGACTTACATTCACATATTTATATACATTTTGATAGCCATCGATTTGAACATTTGTCAGGATGTGGATGGATTCATATGTTTGTTTGTTTTTTACTACCAAAATATAATTTCGCTTTTTTTATCCAATTATATTTTATCATTATATATTGATATTTAGTCATCAATTAAGAGTCATCAAATAATTATCAAGATATTAATTGCAGCTCTACTGAGTACTGCTAAAAAAAAATTGACAAAAAAATCCTTAAGTATAGATTATAAAAAGCAAACTTTTTAACCAAATACAATTATGCAAACAGTGTCAAGAGATCTTTGTAATAGATAAGCCTCAATAACAGTTCAGTGGCTATATAATAAAATCCACATATGCTAGTAAAAAGACAGGAAATCATGGAAGTGAGAAATGACCAGTGGTGTGAGTCACGTTAACATGAGCGGTCCTGTCTGCGGTTCAGTGGAAATGATGAATCACCAAGGCAGTGGCAGTTAGCAAAGGTTAAGTGGATTTCATTCATTTGCCATGTGGTCCGTTAAAGATCGTGGGAAAATTTGATCTCCAAAAGATCAGCACAGGAACCAATAGTAACATACTTTGCTCTCTATGTGTTTAGATGAATTTCAGATGAAAAATGATGATGACCTGTATACTGCAGTGCCATTGAATTTATCAGCACACATTTTTCTTATTTAATATGAACTTCAGAAAATCTTAGTACCATGTCCCAGCTACTAGGGTTGCACGAGCTAGTACATTTTCAGTGCTGGTCTCAAGACTTGCATAAAGAGGTTTCATAAATTCATGTGCCAAATCAAATATGCAGACCATAAAACTATTTTGGATGATCCACTGCGACCCCAAATAGGAACAGCCGAATAAAGAAAACAAACAACATTATTATATAATATAATATAATATAATATAATATAATATAATATAATATAATATAATATAATAATTAATTAATTAATTATAATCATTTTTCTTTAAATTTCTGGGGGGGTTTTTATCCTAATATTTTAAAGTTTCATTTATATTTAAAATTCTTGGTTTTCAGTGTGGTCCGTGTAATATTCAAACAGTATATAACTTTGTTTATCAAGTGTTAAAAAAAATCATTCAATTGCTGACATGAATTAGGGGAGTCATGGTTGCTATAACAGCTTTTTGCGATATTTACTTCATATTAATTTACTTCATACTTCATTCATTTTGTTTTGACATCATGTTACTAATTAGCTTATCATCACAAGATCAAGATCAAGATTAATTACATAAACCTGGGCTCTTACACACACACACACTCATTCTCACACACTATGCACAAACTAATGTTATGGATGAGTCGGTAACATTAATTAGTAAAAGTATTACATGAAAAAATGGGAAATGGAGTTTTAACATTTCTTTAGCACTTCTTCATTTTTCTTTGAAGATCAAGAGAGCAGCACATTCACATGTTGATCAATCTGACTGTCCTGGGATTGATGGATCTTGATTAGCTGAGATCCAAACAATAGACGCATGGTGTCCTAAATACGTTTTGGTAATGGATTTTCAATGGTTCTCTATTCTATTGTATCTGAGATAACTGAGATACTAGTAAATAAATCTAAAACTAGCTTGCCGAATTGAACCAACAGAAAAAAAAAAAAATGCAATTGGAAAACCACACTGACAAGTGTACACATTGCAATAACAACCTCTTGAAGATTCACTCTTAAAAATAAAGGTTCTTTATTGGAATTGATGGTTCCATTAGAACTTTTCTATCACACAAAAGGTTCTTTTTTAGTAGAAAAAGGTTCTTGTTTGAAAAACTTTTTTAAAGGGGTCATATGATGCTGCTAAAAATAACATTATTTTGTGTATTTGGTGTAATGAAATGTGTTTATGCGGTTGGTTATTTGGGGAACCAAAAATGTTTCTGATATTGCATCGCTGCACAGTAAAAATTGGTAGCCTTCAATTGTTACCTTGAGAAGTTATTTCTCCCAAAAAAAATGTAATTTTGTTGGTATACATTTATCTTGTATAGGTTGGTTCAGTAATAATATTTTTAACCTGAATAAAACCAGTTTACTTAGATGCTACCATTTTTAGGTTACCATTTTTCAGTGCAAAAATGCCCTTTTGGAACCTTTATCTTTAGATAATTTTTCCAGGGCTACAAAAAAGGCTATTTGGATTGCAAGAGACAAACCTCAGCCACCAGTCGACCCTTGTCAAGGTCATCGCCTGATGCACAGACTGGGTAGAACAGCTTGCTGCACACAGTAATGACCATCTCAGCTGAGAATGAGATGCCTACGCTGACTTTTCTTGCATTGCATGGTTATGATTCTATGCAGCATAATACAGTCTGCTGCTTACAGGACTCAGATTCCAATCTATCGATCAAATCATGTGGACAGAACACACCTGAACCCAACAGCAGCTCATCAGAGTGAATCACACCAGTCCCAGCGACTGTCCAATGCTGGTTTCTGCAATGACAATCTCAGTACAGCACGCACTCCTGATGACAATATCTCCAGTGTCTGTTTCCATGACAACCTATTAGCATCAGCACTGACATACCTGCCTGCACCTGTTCGCTGTGTACTTTCACATCACAGATGATCTGTGATCAATGCCTCTCCAGCACATGATATCTCTCTTGAGTCCATATTAAGCTACCACAATTGGTTTATTTTCAATACTCGATTCATTTTAATATGTGACTAAGTAGGCTACAGTGGTGGCCTGTGAGGGAATTTTTCAAGGAGGCTTATAGGCTAAATAACCAAACCTGATTGCAGCACGTTTAGCTAGGCCTATATTATAATCTTTCCATTCACCAGCACAACGCAATATATTAAACTGATGAAACAAATTACAGAATGCCATATACATACGACCATTATAAATACATGAATGGAGTCAAATACCTACTCCCCTGTTTGTCCATCACAAATTTGGCTTAATGTGAAAATTTCTCTACCTTGTTCTTTGATGGAACACAAACGTGATTCTGAAAGATACATCTGATATTGAAAATACAGAAGGAACCGCTGATGATTATTGACAAATGGGGCAAGTTTAATTTAGCATCTCTTAATTATTTTTCGGTGGCATTTTGTACGGAAGCAATGTTGTGTAATTTTAATATACATTCTGATTGGTCAGTTTAGTAAGGATAGGTGGTTTCTGTTAGCTTGCTCTAGTGAAGCGATTAAAACGTATTATAAAAGTATTCAAAAGTATTATATTATATCAAAAGTTTTTGATATCTCACTATTGGTCATTTATTTTTCTTCCGCGGAGTGGTACGTTTTATCCCCATTTCTAACCAAACGGGATGCATTTCCCATTTCCGACAGTAGAGGGTGATGTAAGTTTACCAAGAGGTGTTGTGTCGAAGTCTGTTCCCCCTATGTTTCCCCTTAGTTTAAGGCCCTGTCCCAAATGGCACACTTCACGTGCATTTGCGGGTCCACGAGACTGTAGGGTGTCCCATTCGTCATTTTAGTTTTCAGAAGGGTGCTCGCGAGCGCCCCCTTTGTGGCCGCTATGCGCCCTTGATGCGCACTTCTGCCGAGCCCGCACTGGGGCGAGCTCCGCAGCAGACTTCTACCCGACAATCAAAGCGGCATTACGTCACGAAAGTGTGGACTCAGAGGAAGACCTCGAGGGTTTAGGATGCGATTTGGGACAGGGCCTTTAGCGTTCCCGCTACGCAAACAGCGAACAGAGAACACGCGTGTGCTCGTTCCACTGTTCCCACACACTGTTTCCGCTTATCTTTTTGTCTAAATATTATCTTATATTGTTTAATATTATCTTATAATATTACTATATATTTAGGTATTGATCACAGGATCGATTTGAAAGTTTGGAAGGCTTTGCTGACTGCGCTGTATATGTATGAAATATGAATTCAAACAAATGTTCAACGTAATTCTACCTCTAACAAGTATATTTTTCTTGTGTGTGCTTCTCAATCTCAGTTTAAAATAGTTATAGTAATAGTTATATATATATATATATGTACAGAGCCGATCCTCCCTATACGCAAAATACGCAAGCTGCATAGGGCCCCCGAAACACCTGGGGGCCCCCTTGCTCTCAAAGATTATTTAATTTTAGTTTTGTTTTTCAATATGGCCAGCGGTTATGAAAACATGAATGATCATTTCTTTTCATGCGGTGCGCTGTCGCCCTTTCTACGTAAAATCAGTGAAATCATGTAATGTGAATGTCGTACAGTCTTGCTCGAGACTAAAAAAAACGTGTTGAAAGCGTACCGAGCCGCGGAAGAGACGCTGTTTCTCAAGCGCTTTCCGCGAGCGCGATTCGAGACGGAGTGAAACACAGACAAATGCGTTTCATTCATTCATTCATAACCACTCATACCCCACTCCACCGCCCCTGAAAAAAAAACTATAATAGACTATAAAGAAATCTAATTATTTCTGGATACATTAATAAAGGAGAGTTAATGGTAATGGGAGATGCTGATGTAGTGACTCAGAAGTTGCTGATTCTTCAGTGTATGTGTATGGAGCTTCACCAGCATCAGTCTGATAAATATTAGAACCTGCCTGTATAAGAAACATACAGGGAACAGAATCCGATGGTGAGTCTGTTTGTCTAAAACTATAATTCCTACAAGTTCAATCATCAAAATCCAGATACAACTAAAAATTTGAATTTGTAAATTTGATTATCATTTAAGTGAATTTTTTATAAAAACATAATAATTATGCAAGCTAATGATGTAGTTGAGTAGGCTAATTTTGCAGTAATTAAAGTACCACATAACCTCAAAAGCATACAATACATTATATAGCTCTGTACGCTGTTTGAAACGCTAAACTAAGGGGAAACAAGACTTCGACACAGCACCTGCATATAAAAACATGCATTACAGATTATTCTTAGCTGAACGATAAGTAATTGGATTTATGTGATAGTATAACGCTATGTCGTCCTCAACAGAGATTATATAGTCAGAGCAAAGTTTTGTCGCTGAGACCAAGACAAATATGTATTTTATCTTGCATTATAGATTTTATTTTCAGGGTTGCATGAAACCTGGTAAACGTGGGTGACGCTACAACTTATCCTGGGGTAAGATGGAATGAAGATAATGATCATTTGTCGGGATAAATGGCTAAAGTCTTTAAACCTTATTGACCATATAGTCAATAAGTTCATTGTTTTTTTTTTTATTATTATTATTTATCCATTTTTGAGTAAAACATCCTAACTTCTGGTAGTTTGATTAAATAGCCTACTGATTTAAGAAAGATATGTTAAAAAATAATAGGAAACAGTATCTCGTGCATTTGATCAAATTGAGAATTCTGTACATACAGAACATTTCAGCACTTTTTGCCCAGTTTTCACACTGCAGAAATAGTGTGAGTACTATGTTATTCTAGACAGCTCTGTTCAGTAACGAAGTGCAACACAAGCTGTTTAAGATAACTTATGGATCATAGCCAATTCTGTATCATATACTTTTACTGCCCTCTTGTGTTCATTATAATAGAATTATTTACAGAGGAAGCACCTCTAAATATATATATATATATATATATATATATATATATATATACTGTATATTGTGCCGATGAGATGGTTTTTTTTATGTTATTGGGAATGCATTTAGTTTATCATATTATCAACATTTAATGTCAGCCTTAAAAAATGAATGTAATCATATTACATGTGAAGATTTTGTGATTGCCAAACATTATTAGAGCATAGTTCATACTTAGTTGGCCTATTAGTCATAGTTAGTCTGGATCAGAAAGTTAGTTCTAAGAAAAAAAACTCTTGGATCCTTTTGAATTTATGTTACATCTAATGTAGTGACATCCAGAGTGTAACAGTGGCTAATTGTTGTGATATTTTACTTCAAGGTTACGCTGACTTTATCCTGATGGAGCAAACGCTGCAGGTCCAGCCTCTCCTCGGATCTCTCTGGACGCTGGTTGTCATGGCAGCTGTGTGCCGGCGGGGGTCAGCGGGGAAACTCATCTCTGTTTGCTGTAGCTCATTGCCCCTCTGTAATATCAGCACCGGAGACACCTGGGCCTGCTGACACAGGACCTCAGAGAGAGCAGTGGACTGGCAACCCCCAGTGATTGCTTTCTCCAGCGTCCGGAACTGCACTCAGTACACACCATTAACCCGTGGCTCACGGAGCAGGACATATTAGTAACCTCACTCATAATAACTTCCTCAAGACGCACACACAATAGACACTGACCCGCAAAGAGTCAGTAAAGCACTGAAAAAGAAGAAGGCACCCATTTATTTTTTTTTTGCTTTGTCTTGGAGCAACCAAGTGGAGCTAATCGCCGGTGTCACTTTGGTGACAATAAAATAATGGCAAGGCATCCGAGTCCAAAGTCATTGCATGTGTTGACAGGCTCCTAAAGTTTTATGATTCATTTTCTTTATAGGTCTCTATAAAGGGTGTATGTAAACAACAACATTTATCAATCAATAATGAAACATAAAAAAGATTGCATGCACATTATATACAATATCAATGATGATATGTACTGGTCAGTTAGTTTTGAAACCAGATTGCGTAAAAAAAAAAGAAAAAAGTGTTAAGCAGTTATAAATGCACAGTTCGTTAAAAAAGCTTGATACCCAAAATCAATGTAAGCATGTGTAAAACACAAAACATTACAGGTTTACATCCACTGACAAAAATTTCTGTTTGGTCAACCCTAATAAACAGATCTGTCAGTAACATACTGTATGTTAAATACAATTTAAATACAATACGCTTTCACAGACAATATATATATATATATATATATATATATATATATTACTATATATACTGTCCTTTTCTGGTATTCATGCAGAAGACAACTGAGGGAAAACACGTGAGAGAGGAGAAAAACCTTACGTAATCACGTCTTACCTGTATTTTGATACTTATCGCTCTTTCTTCAAGTGTAATATTACCCACGATTGCTTTCATAAAGAGCATTATGTCATGATCATAAAATATGGCATACTGTATGTTCATAAAAACACCTCCCACATTTCTTTTAGACATGTTTTGCAACCATAAATGTAAATTCACCCCCCATTTATGAATGAAATTATGCAACACAAGAGAAGTTGGAAAAGACTTTGTTGTGCTTATTTCAAGGTAGTTACTTTTATTACTTATTTGTTAATTGTCAGTTGGTTATCAGTATTGATTATCATATAATTTTTGCTTTTTGTCTTTGATGTGAATATGCAGTTTGTATAGTTTTTTTTTGTTTTTTTTTCAAGCAGTTCCTTGAAAGTGTTTTCTGTGATATCCAGATAAATTCCCACCCAAAATCAAAAGAAAGAAAAAAAGATATTATCTTATTATACAATATAATACGATATTAAAGTATTGAGAATCTAATTTTTAAAACGTATTGAAAATAATGGCAAAATAAAATTAATAAAATAATAAATAATAATAAAAATGAATCATGGTAATTTACAGTATGGGGGGAAATGTGCTTTACTATCATGAAAATAATACAAAAACACAAACCTTGATTTTCTAATCAGTGCCAAAAGGACAAAACAATATAATACAAAATATACAATAGGAAGTGAATTAGGTGCTGAAAACAGAAATACAGGAACTGAAAATGAAATGTAAAAATATGAATATAAAAATAATTTTCATGTAAATGTGGTCGTTTGTCTACTCTCTCTCTCTCTTCCGGGGCTGAAACAGGTCGAGTTACCTGGAGCAGGAAGTAGAAGAGGAAAGGTGTTACATTAAAGCACGTCATAAAACACCAGATCAGTACTTTCTAGCACACACGCGCGCGTTACAGATCACCGGACTCATCACTGGGAGAATATGGTAGGTCAAAGTTATTCGGTTTTATTTTGTTAACGTTTGCATAAGAAACGTTTATTGTGTAACAGCTGAGACAGGCATTTACACTGTCAGTATTTTACATTAAAGTAACGCTTTATTATTCTTACTTCAAAACTACAAATGGTTTATATGTTTCTCTAGTACTTTACCCGGGGTCCGCAGGGCTGAAGCTCAGCTGAGGTGAAGGGCCCCGCGATCTAGAAACGCTCTGAGAAGAAGAACGTTGTCAGTTGTATCGTCGCGTCATTGGCAGTACAGTATATTAGAGTTTAGTCGTGTAGTTTGTATTATAGCCCTGTGTCTGTAGGAGTTTAAATACACTGTAAATGCTATCTTATGTAATCAACGAATCAGGAACTTTTCGTGGAAAGTGTTGTAAAAGTAGGGGAAGTGTTGATGTCTTTTATTAACCATGTCATTCAATGACACCTGGAATGTACAATTTAAATAAACAGATGCTCACTACTTTGTGAGTAAAAAGTTAAATGTAAATATTGCAGCAATTAGTAAAAGCAAATGCAAATTAGTAGAACATCAATGACGAGGAAAACTGGTCTGATATAAACCTCTATAAACTGATTTTGTTTATCAAATGCATTGGAGTACGTGTTACCATTATTTAATCATGATGCTTGAGCCCCTTGGACAGTCTGGAAACAGATTTAAAGCCATTTCCAACTTTTTTTAGTAAAATAGCAAGTCACTACTGGGTTGATCTCGATGTATTTTGCATGCACTGGACCATTTTCACGGGCCTAGGAACAGTCCTCTTCAGATAAATACATGTCAAAATTCGGACACTATTGCAAATAAATATCAAAGTCAACTCGGAAACAACACGAAAACATATGTAACCTCTGAAGGACAGATAACCCTTTTTAAAATGGGTTTTACTTTATATTTACTGTATTCTAATATGTATTCTAAATTACAAGACTAAAACTTTATTTATTTTTTTTACATTTTTATTATTTATTTTTGCATGAAATTGTTTATTATTTTTGGGTGGAGGTTGATGGGGAATTGAATTGCACTTATACATAAATGATATGGTCACTGTAATTGTGTTGTTCATGAATGAATGATTGAATTTATGAAGATCAAATCATGTAATGCATAAAATATGTGTATGTATAAAATATGACCTTGTTCTACTGTTTACATTTTATGTATTATATATTTTTTTAATTGCAGTTTATAACTTGCATTGTTATGGCTTGTGTTTTATTTACCATTTATTTGTTTATGTTTCAGCCTTATTCGGAAGCAAGAGCAACATGTCAGAGCAGCATATGGACGACACAGCAGCTCTTGCACTGAAAAACCCCAGAACATCAAACATCCAACATACGGCGGGATGCAGTCGAGGTGTTACCATCAACCCGCTGGCCTGGGCCAAGACGGACCTGACCTCCATGACCTGCAGATGAAGGTCGACTTCTTTCGTAAGCTGGGATACTCTCCACAAGAGGTGAAGGCTGCCCTGAGGAAGCTCGGCCTGGGGACGGACACCAACGCAGTGCTGGGGGAACTGGTGCGTTCAGGGGCCAAGGCTGTGCCCTCCTCTAGCTCTGACAGCGATGATAGTGGGTTCAGTTTGCCCCATCGGGGAGGAAGCTCATCTAGGGCACAGGGCTCAACGCTGGAGGACACCACTGAACCAGAAAGTGACCTGAAGCCTATTGTTATTGATGGCAGCAACGTGGCCATGAGGTGAGGACATGGTACTACTGGCTTGGTTTTTCTTATGTGGTTTTTCAATGGAAAGAGAATGGAGATTGAAAACTATGCTGGAGTTTTGAGTCTTTGCCAGTTTAACAAGTATCAACAAGTTGCCTTTACAAAGGGAAATTCATGACAGCTGTGCTCTGGTTGTGAATAAACTTTTCCCAAATTATACAAGGCTTTCACTTTCATTCCACATTTTTTTTTTTTTTTAATGTTGGTCCACCTCAAATTGTTGTAACAGTTTGTTTTTAAAAATGTGAATAGCACATCCAAATAATGGCACAAATACAGACTTGTTGATAGCTCTTTATTTGGAAGAAACATCAATTGATCAATAATTCATTTTAAAGTAGTAACTAGTGCATTCAATGCAATATTGCTTACCAATTCCCATAGTGGATTGCTCATATTGCCTTTGGGCTTAAACTTAGACCTGGTTCTTTTGAAAAGGTTTGTACTTCCCCTTTGTCCATGCTTCTCTGTTCTCTAATATGCACTGTTTTAACCATTTCGTTTCCAAGAGATCCTAGGCCTCATGCTCAACACACTCGGCAACATTTTTAGTCATGCATTCTGCAAAGGTCACAGTAGGGAATTTTGTGAAAGACATTCTTCCTTGAAATGAAGGGTTTATAAGTAGTCTAAGAGAGATGGTATTGGAGATGGTATACGTTCACACAACGTGTGAAAGCCAAATGATGCATTTATATTTGCGGTAACATCATGACGTAATGGAAATGGCTGTTCTTTCGTGTGTTTTGTTGGATGTAGCTTCCCAGTCAAAGCAAACAATTCTGTCATCATGTCTGTCTGTCTTATCTCTTTGTTTTTTTTCTTTATCAGTAATACTATAAACATGTCTGACATGCATCTGTCAACAACTACAGTTTGCATTCCAGTTGTTGTATTGTTGTACAGTACTCCGTAATGAGGTTATGCAAATCAGGTTGTGTTTTAGCATGCCTTCTAGTTGCATTATTGCTATAAGCAATTCCAGCGTCCACATCTGAAAAAATAAAAGTTGCGATGGATCAAACTGTTTAGTTTTGGGTTTACTGAATCAACCCTTGGAACTCAATATACTTTTCACATTTATAAAATCTGATAGTGTTGATGCATTAAATGGATTAACCACAGTTTAGCAAAACTTCATGAACTTTCAAGAAATGTATGTTCCTCATTAAAAACAATGGTTATTGAGCACCAAACCACACAGAATAATTAAAGAGCCGTTCACACAGGACTTGTAAGGAGACTTTTAAAAATGTAAGAATTAATAATTTGACATGTGGCATGCCATTAAGGAACATTACATTCATGGCGTAAGATGCTGAAAAAGCGACATAACCACCAAAGCCCTCTAACATTTATACAGACCAGTGGTTTTTGGCATGCACATTCACTGATTTACCCATTTGCCAAACTAATTTCTCTCTCTTTTTTTTACGATCTCCCTTGTTTTCTTTCAGTCATGGGAACAAGGAAGTGTTTTCTTGCCGTGGGATTGAGCTGGCAGTTAATTACTTCCTTGACCGAGGACACAGAAATATCACTGTGTTCGTGCCTTCCTGGAGAAAAGAGCAGCCCAGGCCTGACGTACCTATTTCAGGTAGAGACACTCCCTCAGCACTTTTGGTAAAAATGAGTCATGACAGACAGGTTTGTCTGAAAAGCGAAAACGCCCATCTGACTGCACAGACGCAGATAAGCCTATACTTCACACTGCAAAGAAATCATTTTCTTCAGCAGTGTTTTTGGCAGGTTTTTCAGTAAACATACACTACCGTTCAAAAGTTTGGGGTCAGTAAGATTTTATTTTAAGAAATAAATGCTTTTATTCAGCAAGGACACATTCAATTTATCAAAAGAGACAGTGAAGACATTTATTAAAAATATATTTTAAAATATTACACCTTTTACTGTATTTGTGGTCAAATAAATGCAGTCTTGGTGAACATAAGACTTCTTTCAAAACCATTGAAAAATCTTACTGACATCAATATATTAATGAAAAGCTAAACCTTTAGACTCGAGCATTACACAGAATATTGTGTTTTCACATTGCAATAATTGACAAGGTCTTTAAAATTGAAACGGTTTAATTACAAAATTTAACAGTTTGCTGTTCATTTGTTTGTGGTTGCAAAACAGTCCCTCTGTACATCTGGTACTAGTACAAAATGACCTTTGTTTCAGGACTTTAGAAACATTCAGGTTCAATTTTAACAGCCTAGAGGTGTTGATGTGGGGATAGTAATCTCAGTTGTTTATGTCCCTGGACTGTCTCTCTTTTGTTGTGAACACCCCTGCTCAGATTCCTCAAATCAATTCGAGCAAGAACAGTAATAACAAAACAAGAAGAATAAGGAAGAGTTAGGTTTCCTGCAGGTCTCACTGGGAATTCCCCACCAGGAAGTTCAAGAGATTTCCTTATCACCTACAGTTTCACTGTGAATCTTTAATAGAGTCTGGTGCGGTGTGATGAATTATTGCCTCTTTGCTGTTTCACAGATGACGGCTCGTGTTCTTTGGAATCTTTTAGTTTACCACCTCCCCAAAGTAGCATCTGGTGGATATTAAATGCTAATTTGGGGGAATAACCATTTGTTTTGTATCTATAATGTAGAAAACTGGTCAAGCACAGGTAATTGCTTAAAACATTAGTTAAGCATAAAGGAGTTGTTCTATAATAATTGTCAAATTGCTTCAATTATTAGTTATGGTCCAGTTATTCTATCAGCGACTGGTAAATAATGTCCCATGTCTTCATTCCAAACTCATGCTAAAAATGTCAACAAATATAATTAAAAATATAAAAAGTGTTTGTCTTTGTTTCCAGATCAGCATATTTTGGAAGAGCTGGAAAGGAAGAAGATTCTTGTGTTTACACCTTCACGAAGGGTCGGAGGAAAGCGTGTAGTTTGCTATGATGATCGCTTTATTGTCAAATTAGCTCATGATCTGGATGGCATTATAGTATCCAACGACACATATCGTGACCTGCAAAGTGAACGTCCGGAGTGGAAGCGTTGTATTGAGGAGAGATTGCTTATGTACTCGTTTGTTAATGACAAGTAAGTTTTTACAACTATTCTTTAGGAGCTGCTAATGCTTTTTGTAATGCCTGTTCCTATTCCTATTCATTTAACTAACCATCAACACGACCCTCTTGGACAGGTTCATGCCACCTGATGACCCTCTCGGCCGTCATGGACCCAATTTAGATAATTTTCTTCGTAAAAAAGCGATGTTGCTTGACCACAAGCGACAACTCTGTCCATATGGTAAGTACTTATCAGTTTCTATCACTCAGAATCATGTATGCCATATAAACCTCAAACTACTAATTGAAATAAATTTCTAGGACTGTCAATTTAATGTGTTAGTTCAGTGCAATTAATAAAAATATAGCCCAATGGAAAATGGACATCATCATGTCCAATGACTCCATATTTCCTAATAATGGATTTTCCTGCCATCAAAGGCACTCACAGCCAGATATAACGCACTGTAGGCCAGTGATAAGCTCATGGTCAATTATAAGAAAGACAAAATGGTATTATGACTCCTCAAACAATTGTAAAGTCTGCTTTCAACTGCCACATTAATTGAATGTCTTTGAATTTTCTTAGCAAATACTGATATATGTGATTTGATGGTAATTAAATTTACCCATAATTGTTCCCATATTATGCTAATTTACAATTTAATAATTTTATTTTTTTGGGTCTGCTAGAATATAGTTACATAATTTAAAGTTCAAAAAGCTCATTATTTTACTAATACTGCACATTGATGCAGCAACTCTTTTCAACCTCTGCCTGAAACGTTTTAGCCCCTGTCTTTTGAAGGCCGCCTTTCTGAAAGCTGGCCCAGTCTGTTGTGATTAGTAAGCCACTTAAAGAGTGTAACAAAAATGTAACGCCCCTTACCATAATTGGGTTTCACTTCCAGAGGTTTCATGGGCAGCTGTAAACAGAACGATTTCTATGATAACTGCAGTGTTGGTATTGAAATTCCATACAAGGTCCAAACAGTGTATATTTGACATAGTAAAATCACCTATCCAACTGTTCCTTGATTAAGCGGGCATTATGCAAATGTGTAATGTGATGACGTAGCGAAGTCACGGATATAATAGCATGACTACAAACAAGATATTTTAGGCAAGTGTTTTTGGCTGAAGAGATTAAATCCCATTAGCATCAACTTTACATCAGGGGTGTCCAATCCTGCCCCTTGAAGGCCAACGTCCTGCAGAGTTTATCTGAGACCAGCTCCAACACACTTGCCTGGAAGTTTCTAGTGAGTCTGAAGACCTTGATTAGCTGGTTCAGGTGTGATTAATTAGGGTTGGAGCTAAACTCTGCAGGACAGTGGCCCTCCTGGGACAGGTTTGGACACTTCTGGTTTACGTGCACAAAAAGCTATTACACACTAAAGGTGAAATCAAAAATCATAATGGAAGCCCTTTAATAAATCTGCATTTGATGTAATTCATTCAATTGATAGCCCTAGTATTTGACCTAACTCTGTGTAACTCTGAGGTCTTCAGTCCTGCTCATGGAGACCCACTGTCCTACAGAGTTTAGCTCCAACCCTAACCAAACATACCTGAATCGAGGTCTTCAGGATTACTTGAAAATCTCAGACAAGTGTTTCGAAGCAAGTTGGAAATAAACTTTGCTGGATTCACTCTGTCAACATACAAGGTGCATGAACAGAAGGAAGTAGACCAGGGTTGGAGAGCCACAGTTTGCAGAGTTTAGCTCCAACCCTAATCAAACACACCTGAACAAGCTAATCAAGGTTTACTAGAAAGCTACTGTAGCAGCCAAAGAGGTTTGGTGTTAAAGGTTCCAGTGACTTGGGGTCATTTATTCCATCTACAGTTAATGGTCGACTGTTAACGATAGCCAACGCTTCATAAAACAATGTCCTAAGAGAGGAGTCATCGAGCCTGCCCGAGCACTGAGAAAGCGTGGAATTCAGCACATTTCACACAGTCCTGATTCTTTATCTGCTTGTAGCATCTGCAGCTTTGTCCTTTCTTCCTCTAGTTTTGAGCGCATCTCTATTTCTTTCCGTTTCATCTCAGCTAGCATTCTTGCTTCGTTCAGTTTCCAATCATTCTCTATCTTAAGTAGTCGGGCTTGCTGATTGTGAATTTCTTGCATAGCCTTCACTTGCTCAACTTTGGCTGCGAGTTCTGCTTCTGCATCAGCTCGCTTACTGGAAGCTTTGGAAGAGGTCTTTGATATAGTTAATAAACTCTCCAAAATCTGTGATGACTCTGAGATGATAGTCTCTGTATTGGTACAACCAAATATAGATTCATACTCATCTTTATTTAATATCTGCCTTACTCTCTCTTTCACAACTTCTTTCTTCTGAATCTCATCAACAGTTTCTATTCTTTTGCTCACCAAATCACAAATTTCTGCAGTCAGTGTGGAACAAACATCTATTCTCTTAACAGCCTCTGGAGTTGCAGTATTATTGCACAGTAAGGGAGCATAATGCTGAGTGACTACATCTTGTCTAGTTTGAATGTCCTTTAAAATTTGTTCAAGCTCTTCACATGTGCACAAAGCTTTTAATTTAGACCTAACTTCCTTAGCTATCTGCTTCCAGGAGTCGTAAGCTTTATTAAAGGCTTTCTCATGCTTCTTTGCCTCCTGTTCATGCATCTCTTGGCCTTTCTCTGTGCGATTTCTTTTCCGAGAACTTGATCTTGATCTTTCTTGTTGCATTATATTGGTGTCTAAATCCTTATCAGGAACTGACTTTTGACTTGCTTGCACTACCGTTTGCTCGACTGTCTTCCATTTTGTCAGTCTACAACTTACATCAAACTTATGTCAAAACTTATAATCTAGACACTTAAATATTTAGCAAAGGGAATAAGTCAAATCATATATGCAACACACTTATAAATTCCTTGACACTCAACACTTTGGCATGTTTATGTTACATATACCATAAGTAAACCCAGCATTAAACTATGGCAATCAATACCTTGTAAATGAATACTCAAGTCAATAACTTTACCTTCATTAATCAATAGTCACCTTCATTCATAAAATTTGATGTAAAATTGCTTACAAAATTCACTTACAAAACTACAAAATCTCTTTAATTATAAAAGTTTCGACTTAATGCAAAAGCTATAAAAAAAGCTTTTTTTTTTTTTTTTTTTTTACTCCACAAAAAATGTTGTTCGTGGATTATTACTCTTACTCTACTTCGCCTCACTTATATCCTATACGTTTATTACTCCCTCTAGTGGTAACGCCAAGCAAAGCGAGTTAAAGGGGAAGGTCATTACAGCTACAGCTGAGATTTTATCAAGGTTGGAGCAAAAATCTGCAGGACTGTGGCTCTCCAGGACACCTCTGAAGTAGACCAAAGATCTGGCAAATCTGGTCTTGGAGGTCATCTGTCCTGCAGAGTTTAGTTACATCCCTAATCAAACACACCTGAAAAATCGAACCTATAGCCTTGTCCAAATACCCACACTTGCGGTCTTTGCACTTGACCACTTGACTACTTATATGACGTATTTCCTGTATTTGGCCCAAGGTTATTTGTAATATCTAATTATTATATTAATATTTTACTTACATTGGAAAAGTTTCCGTGACCTCTCGCGAGATCTCGGCAAAAAGTCTCACGATTTATTTCCAGAAAATGATGCATGATGGGATACACTAAGCCTCGAATAGCGCTCCAGAGCGGTATTCGAGATAGTGTGCGTTAAGGGCACTGCGCTTTGGTATTTTTAAGACCTGGGACAGTCTTGCGCACTTACTTCCTGTCGCGCGCACGCGCACGCGCTCTCAAATGGCCAAGACCGCAAGTGTGGGTATTTGGAGAAGGGGTCTGTCTCCAGGGTTGCTAGAAATCTACAGACAGGTGTCTGTGATTATGGATAGAACTAAGCTCAGGACCACGACCCTCCAGGACCGATGTTGCACATTCCTGAAGTATACCTTATAACACATTTGTCTTTTTACTCTTCAGGAAAAAAGTGCACATATGGGATCAAGTGTAAGTTCTACCACCCAGAGCGCACAAACAAGTCACAGCGTTCTCTAGCCGATGAGCTTCGAGAGAATGCCAGACTGTCTGGTTCAAAAGAGGAAAGCAGAGTAACTGGGCCACTAAGAGGCATGTACCCAAGAAATGACCCTGGTTTTGGGTCCAGCTCACCTTCCTTGGAGCAAGAACTGGAACAAAAGCTCAACTTGGATCCCAAGAGCTCTGACAGCAGGGATGTTATGCTCCAGTACTGGGATGACATTTTGTCCACCAAAAAGCCCTTAAATACAGCCACAGTGGCACAACGCAGGGCTTCGGTAGACAGAACCAGTCTGCAAGCACCTTACCCAACAAACCCTTCGTCCATTTTCAGTTCTGACTCGGGGCTTGGATCCTACCAAAGCCAGTTTTCAGATCCATCCCAGAGCATTGATGAGTTGCATAGGATGAGATCCAATCATCCACCGATGTCTGGTAACCCTGGTGTACCTGCAGGTGGCCAGCGCTACTATGACAACATGAGTCCTTTCTCCAACTATCAGCCCAACTTTGGTGCCTACAGCTCCCTACCTCTGCCCAACCCCGTCCAGCGTTACAATCTTTCTGCTTACGGTGCCTGGCCTTACCCTTACTTCTTACCACAGGCAACCAGTTTACCCGAACCTTTACCCTGTCCTAGCTCGCACAGGTCTCCTGATGTCTACGGAAGTCAGCAGCACTCAGCCATGCCACAGTCCAACGCTTTCCAGGAAGAAAGAGAGGAGGTCAGGAAAAAGCTTCATGCAATTTTTAACCCGCATCATGTAAACAAAGTTATGGAAATGTTCCCGCAGCTGAAAGATGCGCAGCAGCTGGCGGCAGAGATTCTCAAACTCAAGTCCAGAGGAGAGTTCTTCTGATTTGTTGAAACTTTGGGACCATAAAAAAGACTGCATGGCATGCCAAGTTTCTCAAAAGAAAGAGTCTCTACACTCTCAGAAAAAAAAATGTGCATACATTGTACCTTTAGGGGTACTTTTTTACCCTTAAAAAGTTTGTAGTAGTGCTTTAAAGGTACCTAGTTCAACTCTAAGGTATACACCTTTTAGGGGGAGATAAGGTACAAACTTGTCGATTTAGGGGTACAACAACTTGTCACTCAGGCGCTCCCTGAACTTTTTACCTTTTTACCTTTAAAATTTCATAGTAGTACTTTAAAGGTACCTATTACTACTACTATTATTTACTACTACTTTAAAGGTACCTATTACTAATATGCACTTTCGAGGGGTAGATTAGGTACAGATATGTCCTTTTAAGGGTGCTGCCCCATTGACAAGCTGTTGTACCTCTAAAGGTATGCAATTGTAATTTTTTTTCCTTGTAGCTTTGGTAGCTCTTTTCTGGCTTTTGTGCTCTGAAGTCTCAGAAACCTGAATGACTTATCACATAGTATATGTGGTAACTATGTATGACTACAAAGTCAATTGTGTGTCTAGATGTTTTTTAAGAGGTTGATGCACATTGCATCAATTGTTGCTCCTAACGTGTAGCAAACTGTACAGTACCTTGGCTCGAAGACTACAGATTTGGTTTTGGACAGAAGCTGAAATGTAATTTTGAGCATTCTAAATATAGCTGTATGTAATTGCAGTCATTAAGGAACCTCCCTGTTTTCAATGTTCAGAGTAATTTTCTAGTTAGTACGTCTGCTGCTAATTGTTCATTCAAATCAGCTCCACCACAGAATGACTTCAAATAGTAGTAGGTGTGATTCCTTGTCTTCTGCAGTCTTTTCTTTGTATTTCTTTCTCAATTATTGTGGGTGGGAATCCCCTGATATGTTTTTATACATATATATATATATATATATATATATATATATATACATACACATACATA